AGGTATGTTTTATATAAGTATCAATGAAAATACTTATAATGTGAATTGTGACTTTGCATGAGTAGCAATGAAACTACTTATGAGGTTTTGCATGAGTAGCAATGAGACTACTTGTGAAGTGATATATATGTTGTTTTGGGGCTTAGGAAATCTATCCACCTTAGGTTATGTGAACTCTAGTGTTTAACTTTGAACTCTAGTGATATAGAGTTAAGTTCGGACTCTAGAGGTTTCTCGTGGTGAGTATCAATATGTTGTTTTTGAGTTAAGTTCTTCCCATAGCAGTTTCCCCTCCACCTTACCAGCAGCAGCAGTAGCAGCCCAGGTAGCCGCCGCCACACCAGCAGCGGACAAGAGGCCCGCGTCTATACCATCACCCATGATCCCAATTTTTACGCTAAATGCTTATGTGATGCTTTTTGTGTCGTTTATGGAATTTGTGTTATTTTTCATGCCATAATATAATAAATGAAAATTATTAAATTTTTTAGTTGAAGGTTTCAATTATTAAGGAGCTTGAAAATTTACTTGGACAAAAGACTAAAAAATAATAGAAATTGTTTAATAACTATTACATTTTTTTTTTTCTCACAACTTCAAATCTTTATCTCTTTCTTTCTTTATATTTTCTTTTTTTTTTTAAAAAAATATCAATCTTTTCTACTTTTATTTCTATATTTTAGATTAGAAAGTATTTCTAAAAAACATCTCTCACCCACAACAAAAATTAAGTATTTATGTAACCTATTAATCTATATATTATATAAATGTAGGGGGTGTATTCAATTGAGATACTTTTTAAAACTTTTTAAATTTGATGACTTTTGTGGATTTTGCAGAACTTCCATGACTTTGGTGGACTTTTTGAGACTTTCAGAGAAACTTCATCAATGACTTTTTAAGACTTTCATAATAGACTTTTTAAAACTTATTGAGACTTTTATATACTTGTAATTATAATATTATGTTTGAATAAACTATCAATAAACGAAACATAATAACTAATATCAAAATGAATAAATGAAAAAAAAAGATGTCGTATATATTAATCCTCTAAAAAATTATGAATCAACTCATTGTTATGCGAAATGAGTTATTCACGAACAAATTGTTCAGGATTTTAGATTTATTAAACGAGTAAATCGATCCGAGCTTCAATGAGTCGAACTCAAGCAAGGCCTTATATTTGTTTGTTAAAAGAGCACAAGCTCAATGTACTAGACATCTCCGCTACAACGACACTTATAATCAGCCCAAATTAAGATATATTTATCTAATTATTGATTAATTTTATTTTTATATTTTTTTTGCATAATGATGCTATATTAGAAAAATATTATTAGTATATATTCTTACAAGATACAAACATTGCCAAAAACAACAATTGTATCTTATAAATTTATCAATAATATTCAAAATATTTCAATATCAACAAATAAACTATTTGAATTTTTTTTTAGTATTTTGAAATAAACATTTACAAATAGAAAGATAAAAAAAAAGAGAGAACAAATAAAATATTTGCAAGTGCAAACTATGGAAGCATTTAACCTTTGAAAAGTCAAATTCACAAGATAGCAAAATTTGAAAATAAAGGTATGCACACATAAAATAAACATAATATAAAATATATAAAATAAAAGGTCACATTAATATAAGTAATGAAAATAAAAAATATATAAGGTATCAAAATAAATAAGTAAAATAATAGAGCATGAAAGTGATATAAGATACAAAGTCGTGTTATAAAGAAAAAAGAAAGAGAGCGTGCAGAGAGTCACATAAGTCCAGCAAAATCTCATCAATATTGATGAGATTTCTTCTTAGACTTTTTCTTTGTAATTTTGTTATAAAACTCTCTAAAAGTCTCACAATTTAAAAAGTCTTATAAAGTCTTTCTGTTTTGGATACATGTAACTTATAATGACTCTTAGAAAGTTATAATTGAATACACGGATACTTTTAGAGACTTATTAAAAGTCGAGACTTATTAAAAGTCTTTTAAAAGTCTCAATTGAATACATGTAAACTTTTCAGAAGTCTTTAAAAGTTCTAATTGAATACACCAAAATTCTGAAAGTTTTAAAAATTCTCTAAAAGTTGAAATTGAATACACCCCTCGTAATATTTATGATATCAAGGGGCATTTTCATCTTTCAACAAATGAAAAATCAGGGCCAATACCATCAATTCAGAGGAAGTTAAAACCATGACTGATTTATCTGGCCCGTTGGGACCAAATTAAATAATGAACCACTAACCAAATTAAGCCCAAATTTACAGCCCATTACGATTTATTTGGCAGGCCGCTAACATTCACACCGGGCTACGATTTATTTGGCGGGCAGCTAACATTAACATCGACCTACGATTTAATCTTGATGTATTGATGGCGACTATCCAACGGTTGAATTCATAGCAAAATCGTATAATCATATTACTTTTGTTGTGAAACCATCAGACTACTCGACTTATGAAGTCATCCATTACTTATGTACTAACACATGTTGAATGTGTATTTATTGCAGAACGCGCGTCAATACACTATTTGTGAATAATTATGAATATCTTTATAACCCGAGTCATCCGATGATTTTATAGCAAAACCACACAGTGTCGTGTACATGGGCAGACAGAATATATTTGAAACCATTTGCACCACCAAAGAGAAACAACGTACTGATTAACTTTCAAAGGTTGCATCCAATTAATTACAGAATGCACAAAAGAGTAGCACAAAAGAATTGAAATCAATTAAAAATGCAGGCGTGATGCGAACGCAACAAATCCACCACCACTAACATTCGTAAGTGGAAAACCTGCGTCAAAATGTAATTAACTGACGGATGAAATTAATGTTAATTTAGCACTTAAATAAGGGAAATGTTATTTGTTCCGTTACGGAACCATTCCATTCGAAATTTGTAATAATTAGATCAACTATCCACGACGGTTACATGATGATCTAAGACTTACCAACTCCGATAAAATAGTTTCGTAACTGGAGTGTAGCATCTCAGCTTAAATATAATGTGACTAATTTGTCTTATTCAAATTTGGGTGAATGTGAATGTGTGGTACAAATTAGGGTATTTATTGTAATTAATAAACACCCTTGCATATTTTCCTAATTATAATAAGTACACTAATAAATTACTTATTATAAATAGAGAATTACCTAACATATTCTTACCAAATAGTTTCAAATTAGGTATTTAAAAAAATAAAATTACACAGAATAATTTGTCGATGTTTAATTCACCAGTTCATAATATGGTTTCAGAAATTATTAGAAAAATTTACCTGACGAAATGTATATCATGCTTAATTATTAATGCACCATAAGTTTACTCACTAGAATAACAAACACATATATGTTACTTTTAAATTGTTATGTATAAAAAATTATTTTTCAAAATGTACTCATCAAAATTAATTAATTTAGGCGAAAGCAAAATAATAATAATAATAATAATAATAATAATAATAATAATAATAATAATAACTTTAAAAAACATGATACCAACTAATTAAGTTTACCTAGCATTGATTAACATAATCTATTTTCTCAAACTATATGCCTAACATTTCATTCTCGTAATTTATTTATCAACCAGATTCTGCCTATCACATTGATTAATTATAATTTAGTAAATTTACTAAGATTAATTAAAATATACTTTATTTCTGAAATTAATTAACGATCCGATCTTATAAATTTTGGAATGGAATTGCTTTAATGAAATGATTAAAGAGATTGGACAACTAATGAATAAATGCTTGATTTTATGTCAAGTTGTCCAACATATTTCGTAAATTAATTTATCGTTGAAATATGTTATAGGAAAATGCTATGGTCCCGTTACACAATCGTTCCGTCGGGGTTTGTAACCGTTAGATCAACTATTCCTCGACGGTTACATGATGATGTAATGATTACAAATCTCGACGAATAGTTCCGTAACGGGACTGTAGCATCTCCATATCTTACAGAGGGTGAATTGGGTACTATTTAATTAAATACAAGCAAAAACAAGTTTCTCTTGGAGCTCTTTTTATTATATATATATTATAAAAATCCTATTCCTATTTGAGAGATCTAAACAAGATTGTATATATATAGCGCCCGCCAGCCTTATACATTAAACAAAGACAGGCAAAAGCTAATAGCACTAGCCAAGCGATTTATTACAATTAGCACTCACATATAAATACAGGCAGCCAATTAATTTGGTTTTTATGCTCCAATATAGACAAGTTATAGGTGGTTGATACTAACATAAGTTTTTCTTTTTTAAAAAAAAGATGATAGGGTGGGAAGATATATACAAAGTGGTGGTGTCGATGGTGCCGTTGTACGTTCCGCTCGTTTTAGGGTATGCTTCGGTTCGCCGGTGGAGAATGTTCAAACCCGAGCATTGTGACGCGATCAACCGTTTCAACTGTTATTTCGTCATCCCTTTCTTCACTTTCCATTTCACGTCGGGAGTCAATCCGTACCGCCTAAACTACCAATTCTTAGCTGGCGATGTCGTGGCAAAAGCCATCGTGGGCTCGATTTTAGCCCTATGGGCCAATCTTTGGAGAGGGGGAAACTTCTCGTGGGCAATTACGTCATATTCCCTCTCGAGCCTCAACAACACGTTGGTCGTGGGAGTCCCGTTGTTGGGCGCTATGTATGGGCCGGTTGGGGAGGATTTAGTAGTCCAATCGTCTGTCATTCAGGCCCTCATATGGTTCCCGATTCTATTGTTCTTGCTCCAACTCAGACAGCAACAGCAAAAACAAAAACAACAGCAAGAACAACAAAACGCCGATCAGGAAAATCAAAACGGCAATACGAACGCGACGGCCGAGTACACCACCACCGTTGGATCAACGATGATCAAAGTTTTTGCAAAGCTTGCAACGAATCCCAATTGTTACGCGTGTGGCCTTGGACTCGTTTGGTCTCTCCTTGCAAAAAGGTACCTAATCTAACGACCTCCTCATGCATATATTTACTTGGTCAAATAACTCAAATTGATTATAGGTGGAATTTTGGGATGCCCGATATAGTGGAAGGATCGGTTTTGATTATGGCCAAGGCAGGGAGTGGTGTGGCCATGTTCTCAATGGGTATTATTATTAATATAGTATAATTATTATTACTACTATTTTTTATTTTAGTTAATAAATTAATTAATGGATGAAGATTATTAATTAATATTATTTTGTACATAACAAATTTAATCTCAGGACTATTTATGGCACTTCAAGAAAAGGTGATAGCATGTGGTGTGAAAATGAGCTTGTATGGGATGCTGCTAAGGTTCGTGGGTGGACCGCTCACCACAGCAATTGGTTCCCTGGCTTTAGGGCTGAGGTCAAATATCCTCCGTATAGCCATCATCCAGGTCGTCATTTAATTTTCTCACTAGCTACAAAATCATTTTATTTTACTAGCTCTGATAATAGATGTTAACAAAAAAAAAAAAAAAATGTATATGTAAACATTAACAGGCGGCTCTACCAGAAGCCATAACAGCTTTCGTATTTGCTCAAGAATATGGGTTGCACGCCAACGTACTCAGCACAGCGTTAGTCTTCTTCGTAAACTAAATTAAAGTTGTCGTGCACATATATACTTTGATGATCGATTTTCTAATTTTATTTTATTTTGTGCAGGGTAATTTTTGGTACTATAGTATCCCTTCCTCTGTTGATCGCGTATTATGCCATCTTAGATGTAATCAAGATATGATGACCACGATTTTGACTTGAGCTGGTTGGCCTTGTACGCTGCATGTTTTTTATTATCTAATATTTACATTCAAATAAATTTCGCGTGGTGATGCTTTTATACATAGTAAATAGTTTATTTCTACTGTTTCAGACACGCGGAAAAAAAAATAAAAAAAAATTGATATCTAAACAATTAATTTACGACCAAAAGTTTCTAAATGTTTTCTCAAAAGGAAAATATTAAGTAAAAAATGAGTTATCTACTGATATAGCCATATTATCATATACCGGTCTGAGATCAACTGCTCGATCGGATGACGAGTCGAGCCGTCTATGTGTCGGCTGAAGCAGCACATCTCAAATCGACTTCCTATACATCACTATGATAGGGGAAGTCGATATCCTGAAGTCGACTTCCTCAAGACTCATCATATCACCATGATAAGAGAGGTCAACATACCTTAGTCGGTTTCTATGATCTGTCTAAATCGAGATTGAATACCTCGATGTCGACTTATTGTATTAGGAAGACGAGAACCAAGGTCGACTGACTCAAATCGACTTCCATGAAGAAGATGGGGACGGTTCAAGGAAATACAACAGAGCCTCCTGACATATTCCTACGTGAGCCCCAAGTCGACCTCTTGCTACCCAAAGTCGACTCTGTACACCTCGAAGCTCGAGGTATGTGACGACTCGAGACACTTGAGGTATATAAAGCTAAACTTGCTGAATAAGGATGAATCTTTATTGGATAAGATGGAATACATATTACACTTGAAGTATCACATTTTTTCAAGTAGCCTTGTAGTGCACGGATATAGTACTAGTTAAAGTAATATGTATCAATCTAATTCAATGTTTCCAAGAAAAATTGGATCATGACGATAAAAAAAAAA